TCTTGCTCTCTGAAGAGGCCGGTCATAGGTGCTGGCGAAACGTTAGGAAACAAAACTTCCAGAACATGGCCACACAGCCCGGAAGACCCACACCAGCCACCTAACTTTGTTGGGTTTAACAAACCATCTTAGCTTACCAATAATGGGTAAACTGTCATATGGTGTTCCACTCTGTCTCTAATGTGGCTAATAAAAAATTCTGAATGGGTGTCTGTGCATGTTAGTGTTGAGTTTTGATTCTAGAAACACTTTTCAGATTTGGAGCTTTTGCAAAAAGAAAAAAGAAAACCTTCCTCCCTCCAAAATCTGAATCTCTTTGAGAGATTTGAACATATTACCTTGATGGGTTTATGATTTGTTTATGACCTAAATATTTTTTATGTAACAAAGGCTCAAGCAATCTCCAAGTTCAAAGCACAGACTAGGACTTTGATCCCCAAAGCTGTGTAAATTCAGGAGCGGGTTCCCGCTCGAATTAGGTCAATGTCGTTTAATGTTCGTTTTTTTGTTTATACATATCAATTTGGTCAGTGCTCATCTCACTGAAAAGAGACTCTGGGTGGTTTACAAAGGAATGCAATCAATTAAAAAACAGCATCAAAACAATCTTGCAAATAATAAATGAATTCCAAGAATGATGAATTGGTGAATAACTCAGGAGTGACATCAGGGCACCAGCCACCCCCAGGATTCGTGAAAACTCTCATCGCCTCATGGAAGCTGCTGAAGCCAGGTCTTAAGTGCTTTCCAGAAAACTGGGAGGGCACGGGACCACCGCACGTATGGGGGAGAATATTCCAAAGGGTGGGGGCAACGGCACAGAAGTCTCTCCACTTGGGCCTCAACAGCTGACATTCTCTTGCTGATGGCACCCACAACCTGCCCCCTCCGCCTGACAGTTGGGACAGGTTTATGTTATGGGGGTGAGACGGTCCCTCATGTAACCTGGACCCATGGCATGTAGTGCTTGAAAGGTAATAATCAACAACTTGAATTGGACCCGGAAGCAAACTGCCAACAATGAACTCATGTAATATGAGCCATTCTAGGGGCACCCAAGGTTGTTCATGAAGCCAAATTTTAAACCAACTGTAGCTTCTGGATACTCTTCAAGGGAAGTCTCATGATATGGGCATTGCAGAAGTCTAACTGAGAGATGAGCAGGGCAGGAGTGCCTGAACAAAGAGCCTCCCACTCCAAGAAGGAGCATAACTGACATGCAACACAAAGGTGGGCAAAGGATCTCCTGGCCCCAACTGCCACCTGCTCCTTGAGCAGGAGTCATTAGTCTAGGAGGACCCCCAGATTGTGCACTGGCTCGGTTTGGGACAGTGCAGTCCCGTCCAAAACAAAAAATGGTAAAATCCTGGATACAGAGGGAACTCCAAGATAAACTTGCTGCTTCACATACTTCTTAAGAATTAAAAAAAAATCTGTCTAGACTGGTACTGGAGCTTGTTGAGCATGACAAAAGATGTCTAAGATGTAGGTTGAAGGAGCTCTAGATGGTCAAAGCACCATGTTCTTGGTCGTAAAGTGATGTCTTGGGTTTTCGTTCTGACTCACAAAGATTCAATCTTTGTCTGTGGAAAGCATTCTTGGTTACATAACCTGCATCAGATTAACACTTGTTTCTTTAACAAACAATGGCTAAGGTAAAGTAGCTTATCATAATGAGTGAACTGTCAAATCCCCCCCCCCCCCCCTTGGGGTTTTTAAAAAAATTTTTTT